CCACCCCCCTTAAACCCCAAACTCAAGACTTTTTCATGCTTTCCTCGTCAGGGTAAAGCTTTTCATCTCTTGATATTGGGTAACCTTGGGACAGGTCTGGGCTTTCTTATCGTTGGACCTTCCCCGCTGATTTCATTCGTTCCTAGGTAAGTTTTATTCTGCTCCCGTGGTTTTTTGCACCCCGCATAATTTAGCAAAATTTGATCATTTTTTGCATAATTTCTGATAATTTCCTACATCATTCTTTGTTAAAATCAACAGAATCGCATAATTTCACATTTTTGGGCTCAGTTTGCATAATTTCATTTTTTTTTGTGTGTGCATAAAACGACGGGGACAGGTTAGTTTATCTTCAGTACCATTGTTGAATTATTCGGATTTGTAAAGCGCATATCCACGCTTTACATCACACTATACATGTATTATGTGCTTTACAGCCTGGTATGTGTCATTGGGAAAGACACTTTACACGAATTTCCCATTTGGCTTGGTCCTTTCGGGATGGACGCTAAACTTAAAGGTCGCTTATTTTACTTTTTCCCCCCTTCCGCTTGTATCGGTGGATGTCGCGGGGAGATACAGGCGTCTATCTTGAAGCAAGGCGAGTGGCCTGTAGAGGGATACCCCGTGAGTCGAAGGTCATACATGCTAAATAACCTAATAGTGTTAATAGGGGCGATAAACCACTACCATTTCATCATTTCGTCAGGCTCGTAATTTCTACTTTAATTTTTTTAATTTCTCCCTGGACCATCGTGTGATGTAATTTCTACTTAATAATAATAATAATAATAATGATTGCATTTATATAGCGCATATCCATGCTCAAGACCATGCTCTATGCGCTTTACAACTATTATTACCCCGGCAGATTCTCTGACAACATTCAGGAACATTCTCGGCTTCCGCGGAAGCATACAGTGCAAGCTGCGGATTTCACGCGCTCAAATACTATCAAACTGACAAGATCGTTCACTGTCTATACCCGATTACCCATTTCCACCTGGGTGAAGTGAGGAAAATTTGTACAAAGTGCCTTTCCCAAGGACACTACATCGGGCCCCTGACGGGATTCGAACCCACGACCTTACGGTTGCCAGTCCGAGAGCCTAACCACTAGGCCACCGACGACACACTTTCACTTTCAGTTCTCCCTGGACCATCATTATTATGACGTAATTTCTACTTTCACTTTCAGTTCTCCCTGGACCATCGTGGTGGCGCTTGCTGTCTGTGGGGTCAGTGTGAGCGCCTGTTTCCTGCCCTGTATGAAGTGTCTGGTGATTGGAGCTAGGTGTGTATGTGTGTGTGTGTGTGTGTGTGTGTGTGTGTGTGTGTGTGTATTTGTATGTGTGTGTGTGTTTGTGTGTGTGTGTGTATGTGTGGGTGTGTGTGGTTGTGTGTGTATGTGTGTGTGAGTGTGTGTGTATGTGTGTATGCGTGTGTTT